GAGAAAAGTTTCTAAGAAATTGATTATTCCTTAATTCCAGATTATAATTGGGAATTTAGTCTCCTTTGTACAATACAAAACTGGGGAGTGAGTGAGGGGAATAGAAAGAAAAAAGAGTTTCAAGCTCTTATCCAAGTTATATTAGCAGTCGCAACAGAGATAAGACTGTGCTCTTTAAATTGTCAGTGCTCCGTGCATTTCTTCGGTGATATCCATTCATTTAGTCAACAATTATTGAGCAGCTACTGCAAGCATGGTTTTACAAGGGATAGAGTGTTGAAAAAGACCCTGAAGGAGTTTGTAAATTACTACTTGGAGGCGGGGAACACATCAAATAGATATTTACATTAGGCAAATGTAACTTCTATAGGAGATACTTCTATAGGAGATACAAAGCATGTGAAAATTAGAATTGGATGGGAAATTAAGGTCAGTTTCATTTGCTGAACCATGAAGAATTGTATCATTTTCCCAAGCAGAGATGATGTGTGAAGATAGAAGGAAATGGTCAAACAAAAGCATGGAGACAGGGAAATAGGTAACAGTGAGCATTACAGCTTGGTTAGAAAGGAGAGTAGAGGAAGGAATTGAGGTCAGCCAGGACCAGGACATTGACAGCGGGGACCAGGAATGTCAAGCTAAACAGAATAAAGTCCAAAGGCAGTAAGGAACCTCAAAGGTAATATGTAGGTTTCTAAACCTTTATTCCTTTTTCATCCTATTAGAATAGTTATTACTAAGAGCAAATTAGAGATGACATGTAGCTTGACACTTTTTTTAATAAAGTTCATAACAAATAAATTAAACAACATATTGTTTAGGCATGGGGTGAGCGTGTATGTAAATAAAAGCAAGGTAATGATTAACAAATTTTAAAGTATTATTTCTAGGGAGAAGTCGTTGGATGGGATGGAGAGGAGCATAGGTAGATGTCATGTAAATTATTAGTTATTTTCAATATTAAAGTTGTTAGGTATTTGTTCAAGGTGTTTGTCCATGAGTGTTCTTAAGTAAGCAAATTAAAGAGACCCTGATGCACCCATGATGACAATGTGCCATTAACCAAGGAGTATGACTTATCCAAATCTGTGTATTTGAGATCCACAGGAGACTTAAAAGAACCTATAATACTGTAGAGGTTTCTCCCAATTGGCTTGCACTAGCAGAGAGTTTATTTTCCTTCCACTTCTCTGGAGGGTAGGTGAAAAAGTAACTTATGAGCTACATGGGTGAAAAAATCCATTAAGCTTTTATCTTTGGGCCAGCACCACTTTTAAGGAAAGTTGCTACTGGGAGAAGAGGTGGTGTGAAAGGAGGCTGCTCAGCCATACAACATATACATGAAGCACGTTTAATAAATACAGGGACAGCTGAGATCAAAAGACACCTCTATGTGGGCTGCCTGGTACTGTCAGAATCCTAAATCTAAAGTGCTCTGTTCTATTTGCAGAGTGGTGCTTCTCAGCCCTGGCTGCACATCAAAATCACCTGTGGAGCTTTAAGCACTACAGATGTTCATGCTGCACACAGACCTACTGAATCAGAACCTCTAAAGGAAGTACCTAGATACGTACATATCTTTTAAAAGCTTAAAAAGTGATCTTGAGGGCAGCAGAGACTGGAAACCATTCCTTACAAACTATGCTTAGAAACTCTAAGTGGGTAGCTTGTTAGAAATGTAGATTTCAGGGCCCTATCCCCAGAGATTCTGATCTAGGTAGCAACGGAAAGGGTCTAGAAACCTGCATTTGTAATAAGCGTCTTCAAGGTGATTCTGAAGATGAGGCTTCCTTGGACCACACTAGGAAACATTGCCCCAAAGGTTCCAAAACACTAGGGCCTCATGGTGACTACTCTGTGTATTCATTTCCTAGGGCTGTCATAAACAAAGTGCCACAAACTTGGTGGCTTAAAACAACAGAAATTTATTCTCTTAGGTCTGGAGGCTAGAAGTCTGAAATTGGGGCATCAATAGGGCCATGCTCTGTCTTCAGTCTGTGAGGTAAAATACTTCCTTGGCTCTTCTAGCTTCTGGCATTTCTGGCAATCCTTGGCATGCCTTGGCTTGTACATGCATCACTCCAATCTCTGCCTCTGTCTTCTCTCCGCATGTCTCTGTCTTCTCTAATAAGGATGCCAGTCCTATTGGATTAGGACTAACCTAATGATTTTAACTTGATTATATCTGCAAAGACCCTATTTCCAAATGAGGTCACGTTCACAGATACTGGGTGTTAGGACTTTAACATATCTTTGGGGAATTCAACTGATAACACTATTTTACATAGTTTTTTTTTTTTTTTTTAAGTAAGGACCCCAAACAACTAACAAGACAGATTAGCTATGTTCTTTAGCTGGGATGTCTAGATAGAAAGACCTATAGTTAACTCAGAGCTCACTGTGCAAAGAATCACCTGAAAAGCTTGTGCTTAGAACGCATGTTCCTGGGCCTTGATCCAAGATGTTAGAATTCAGTAGGACTGGGGAAGGATCTAAGAATCTACATTTTAAATGATGTCAAGGGTCCATGCATCACACTCTTGAGAAAAATTGGATTTGGGAGAACAAGCAAGGTCAAGAACCAAGTGGTTTGGGGAGGAGGAGCTCCCGAGAGCAGACCCTAAAATCTGCATTTGTAACAAGTTACTCAGGTGAACCATTGCCTTTGGGGCATAGTATTTCTAGGGAACTAAAGGATACCTACTATAATTGTTATTTCCATTTGTTAGTGAATCAGAACTCAAATTAGATGTACCTTTAAGTATTGTAAAGTGTCCCCTCTACCATTGCTCCAAAGGCAGTAGAAAGATACCCAGTCTCTTTGCTCTTGTGTCTTGTGAAACAAGGTGGCTCTGTGTGGGTGGTAGAAACAGTAAGTAGGTTAGACAAGAATCATGCAGATTACAGAAAGTGAGCTGGTGAGTATACACCTTAAGGTAAAGTGCTCCCAGGCTGGGGGCAAAATTCAGGATCATAGGCAGAGTAATGTGACGGAGCTATTTCTATTAACTCTCCTTGGATACGTTAAAAAGCGACAGAACTAGGCTACGTTGTCAACTCTCTCCTATTATTGTACATGACAGGTGATGGTGGTTTATATTGTTTATTTTACTCACCCACATTCAAAATTCATATTTAAAATGACTAGCTAAATCATTCTGGAAGACTTCAATAGTAATGAGTTGACCTTATTTACACACTGGAATGTTACTGCCAATAAAGACAAAGTTCTGTCTTTATCAATAATGAAAGGTGTAGTTATTTGCTCAGAACAGATATATCATCTCAATTCCTTCTAATCTACAAATGCTTGGGTGGGTGGAAGTATAATCTTATCCCCACAGACCTGAATGACAGAGCTAGAACACAAACAAAATTGAAGGAACACTGCATTCCTAAAAATTCCATGATTTGTTAAAGTGACCATGGCACTGGGACCTGGAGTTTGAAAACGAATCCTTAGATTTAGGTCTTCTTTAGTTCATTGCTAGGCTTTTCTGTATAAACTAGAGCAGTGGTTCTCAGTCCTAACTTTACTTTAGAGTCACTGTTGGAGCTTTTTAAAAATACCACTGCTTGGAACCCACCCCAGACCAATAAAATTTGATACTCTAGAGTGGTGTCCAGGCCCCTACTGTGAAGATTATGATTCAGAATGTCTAAATTGGAGCCCAGGGTCTGTATTTTAATAAGTACCTCACGTAAATCTTCTGATCAGTTAGTTTGGAAAACACAGTTCTAATCTAGCTTAGTTGTTAGGTGCTTTTCAATAATCTGATTTTTTTTCTTTAACTGTTTAATAGTTACTTACCACATTAAAAAAGTATTTAAGATGATGAAAACTCAGGATATCATTTTGAAACTAATTTGCCCATAGCAAACTTTTTACTTCAAAGAAATTTCCATCTGTTTTTCTTAGACACCTGAATCTTTCACTTTTTTATTTTTTTTTATTTTTAGGGAAATAAATCTGTTGAAGAATCTTGAGAGTCAAATCTTCTGAGCATAAACCTACTGCTGTCAACATCTCTAAGACTTCCTTCATCTGAGAATTACCAGGTCTGACAACACTTTCCCTCAAGCCTACAGTGAGGGACATCAACAAAGCTGTAGAAAACTCACATCCTCTAGACTTATAGCTCTCAAGCTGTGGTAGCTGGGCAGGAATCCTACAAGCTCCATCCTTAGGGGAGATTCAGAAAAACGAGAAGGATGAAAACTCAGATATGCTAAGCCTAAAATATAAAAGCCTTTAGAAAGTCTCCTCACAGAAGAACCCAGTTAAATCCACATAATTAGTACACACATTTAGATGAGTAATAGGTAAAACAGAACCCTTTCTCCTTGCACCAAAACAGAGCAAAAGTCTGATTTAATATTTTGAGAGATTCTTGTCCCCATACCAGTATTAATTATAAAGCAATTTCACCATTTTTATTTTAATCAGTATAAGAGTAGGACTGTGGAAAATAAAAGATATACATATATATAAAAGATGATAAGATCAGACATTTCTAACAGACAAAAGCTCAGTGAACACGGCAATCAAATCATATATGACACCAGATTGCTAACAATATGACATGCTATAGATGAGACAAAGCCATGTATAAATAAAGAGTTCTTCAGAGAAATAGAACCAATAATGTATATACATACATGTATATACATGTATGTATGTATATATGTGTGTGTATATGCATGCATGTACACACACACATATATACATATGTGTATATATATATATATACATATGTAATTTTTTTAAAGATTAAGAAGTTCTGATAAAACGTAGCTGGGGGGGCGGGGGTGCTATGCTGGAGGACAGAGAAGGTGTGGCAATTGCCAAATTAGAACATCATCATTTTCTTGCTTGTGCACTACTGACTTGGCTCTGGTCGTGATTTCTTTTTTTATTCAGAGACAGTCTAAGTGACTGTGCAATGCCTCAAGAGCAATAGAAATCAAATAGAAACAGGTACCAATTCAAGTCTTAAATGATGACAGAGGTGCATTTCAAGTACCATGGAAATCTCACTGGGCGGGCCCATTTTCCCACCCTGGCAACAGAAGTTGACACCACTTCAGATAAGTATTCCAATCTGTATATGTATGTGGGCTTATTCCTGAGCCTCCTGGCCATTCTCCTCATCCTGCTCTTCACAATGCTCCTTCGACTCAAACACGTCATCTCACCCATCACCTCTGAGAGCACAGAAAGTGTTCCTCAATTCACAGATGTAGAGATGCAGAGTCGAATCCCCACTCCTTAATGCCAGGATGAAGATGAGCCTTAGTGGATTTCAGTAAACCCTTGTATGTTGGTGTTCAGGAAAGCTTCCTTTGTTATGCATAGCTTCCCATGTAAGGAATCAACAAGTTCATTTAACAAAAAATCATTCATGTTTCTTTGTGTTTTTCTCTATCTTGACTCTGCTAATGGGATAGCTAACAGGTTTAAGACTTATTCTTTGCCAGGAATATAGGAAATGGCAGCTGGTTGGGAGGGTATGTTTCCATAGTAACCAAAGAGCCTGGGCTTTAAGCAAACCTCAGACCACAGAAATTCATGTGCAGCTATTGTAAACAAAACACAGGATCTCTGGAAGCTCCAAGAACAAGGAAAATTTGCCTTCGAAAGGGCTGACTGTTCAAAGATGGTACCCCAAGAAAAAGACATTTTAATTTTAGCACTTGGACCCTAAAGAATTGCTTCTGCTGACAAGAAGCTAAACCATATCAGAGATGAATGGAAGGGACCATGAACCTTTTCCCAAAGGAGCAGTGATTTTTATCATCTGAGGCCATTGTGTTTGTCTCAAATGAAAGAAGAGTTTTAAAGAAACTGTTTCAGTTTAAAGAGCAAGCTTGCAAAAAGTTGTTTCCAGTCACAAACTCATCTAGAGAGGGAAAATGTGCATTTTATATCTGTGTTATTACTATTACTGGACCTTTAAAAACTTAGGTAATGGCAGATGTAATATGAAAATTTGGAATAATGAGCTTCCCCAAAACCAAGGGAAAATTAAGTCAAAATGTGTTGACAATGAACCTTACATTATATGTGCAGCTTCTTTGCCTTTTCTCCCTCCATATCATGCTCCAGGATTTAGGTGCACACAAATATGAGCTTTGTTTAAAGGTGACCTTAGCAAAGAAGGCTAAACTGTACTTTAAAGCAGAAATGAAATAATATTGATATTCTATTGTTGAACAATTGTGGCTTTGGACAAAACATACAAGACTCTGGATGCCAGATGTTTCTGAAAAATGATCAGAGAGCTATTTAGTCATCACTATACTTTTAGATCTGAGTGTAAGAAAAACAAAGAGAGACAAAGGAGGAAAGGACTAAACAACACCCTCCAACAAATCTTTACTGAGATCAATGTTCTCAAATTCACATTTCTCTTTCCCAGAAAATGTTCCTCCCTTCTTGATCCCTGCCAAAAGATGAAGTATTTCATTTATTACCTATAAGAGATATATTTTGAAAAATTCCATTCTCATAAGTAGCCCTTATATGCCAGTAGTAGAGAAAGAATTTGATTTTTTTAAAAATTAAAGTTCCAAAGGGGAACCAAAGGAAATAAGTACTGTTTACAAATTAGAAATTAGAAGGCTGGTCATATTCTTGTCACCAAAGAACTAAGACACCTGTGTTGAATTCTTCCTGCTTTAAAAAAAAACAGTTCTCTCTTGCATCTAAAAGGTGGTCATCAAATTTCACAGGGTGCTCCCTTGGGAACTGCAGTGGTGGCGAGAGAGAAATGGAATGGATGTTAGGTTAATGCCACCTCCACCAGACATGTAGCTCTCTCTAGTCTGTTACCAATTTAGATTGGCCCCTTTACTCTGGTCTAAATCTAGCTTGGTGGTGAAATTCCCAAGTGCTTTCTCCTTTTATACACAGTCATTTGCCAATATTCCACTCTCCAAGGGGCTGCAAAGTGTAAAATCCCCACATGCAGAGCTAAACTTAGCAGCAAGCCTGACTCTGACACAACTGTTACAAAAGTGCATTGTTAAAAGATGGCAGCTGCGTTCTGCACCATTCAGGAGAGATCAGCAGGTAAGCTAAGACTCAGACAGGGCTTCACTTCCCTTTTGGCATTCTATTTTCCCAAATACAAAGTGACTGTTAACATTATTACATTTGGTGGTTTAAGTTGTGTCTTTATTCCACACCCAGACTCCATGTACCCTTTAAAATTTTAGTTCTTGGTGGCCATACATGGACTTCCTCAAAGGCTGGAAATATACCCCAGAACATCTTAAGGACACACATCTTCCCTCTCCTTTTTGTGCTTACAGTATTTGAATGCACTTTACCGTTAAAGTCAGTGGCTGGATAAATGAAGAAATTGATTACACTTTCAACAGCAGTGAACAGCGAGATACCCAATGGCTTGTTGCTGAATCTAATGAACAGACAGACTAAAAATCTATTCCCTGCTCACCTACCCACCCCAACCCAAATTTCAGGAGTTTAAAACTACTCTTTAATCACTGACTTGGATGAAGATTGCTAATTTATGTTTAGGTTACTCACCTGGAAAACAACCGCCCTCTTTCATCACAACTACCCCACGGGATCCAGATCTTCACTGAGCATTAACCAAAGCACACAGCACAGATTGCACTAAAATAGCAGCATAACCCTTCACAGTTTCCAGTGATAACATAAATAGAGATGCATTTAAGCAGATGTGTCATTATGGTGACACACATGGTATTTAATCTTTAGGAAAATAAACAATGTTTTCATCATAGCAAACTTACTATAAAGAATCTTCCATTTATATTAAATTATATTCCCCAATGTATTAATTAACATATATTACTGCTCAAAGAGGCAGCTAGAGCAATCAATGGGCATAATTTGAATTTATCCATCTATCCAAAATGCTGACTTGTCAATTCTCTCCCCAACCCTCACTCTCCCAAAAAATTCATGTTAGCCTAAATGTAAACAGATAGGTTATTTATATATAGATGTACTCTGTTGTAAGGTGAAAAAATGATTCTCTACTTGTTATAGTGCTGATCTACATGTAATTGCCATTTCTGTAAGTCAAAAATGATCAAATATTGGCAATTTCATATAATTCAACTTAATAAAAAGACTCACTATATGAATTCTTTAAATAGTAAACTCTCCTAATATGTTTAAAGATATTAAATTTCAAAAAATGTACTTTGCATACATTTCAGAATCATGGGTTGTATAAAACAAGGTCTATTGTAAAAGGCTTATGTATTATGTATTAGGCAAGAAATATTGGGGTTAATGAGGATGGGTTCATCTGGCCTAACCTTTTCATACATGCCAAATCTGAAGCTTTGGACTCATAACTGAGTTTGACAGCTTCAGACACTGCCGTACTTGCTAAGTAGGTAAAAGGGGTTCATTTAATGCAATTAAATGGTTATATCTAGTAATACATGTCATTCACCTGCATTTGTACAAAAGGAACTTTTTGAACAAAATGAAGAATTGTGTTGAAGAAAAAAATTGGCTTTCTTTTGTTTGAAATCATTAATATTTGAAATAGATTCATATTGTATAAAAACAGAAATAGTCGAATTAATATTTAGCATGTCATTTTCGATCCCTGGAAAATAAATTCTGTTTGGTTTGTTAATAACAAATATCTATTGTCTGAAGAATGTAAAGAACATTAGCCTCATCATTCCAATATAAATTGTAACATCGGAAAATTGGTAGGATTTATAATTTTGAAGTGTCATTATTTTTTTATTCACCAATCTCCTACCTTTTATTTTCTTCCCATTTGCAAACTTATTGGTGTGTTAGTTTGTTTCTTTAGTAGTAGGATGTGAAAAATGGATCATGACTACTAGCTGTCAATGAAGATAACCTGAGGAGAGAATGAGATAAGGCAACTAGAGTGTCAATATCTTTCAACATTCCCCTCCCCACATTATTTTTTAAATGTATCTTACATTTTGCACTTTCTTCATTTGATCCTCACAGCAACCATGTGTGTAATGAGTGCAGGTATTATAGTCTGTTTTACAAAAGAAGACATGAACACAGAGAGATTATTGAGGCACTTGTGGTTACACAGAAGCCAAGTCAAAATGACACTGCTAGTCTTGGGATTCCTATTTTAGTACTCATCCCGTCATACTTTGCTTTCTGGACACTGAATACATATTTCAAACCTATCCATTCTATACCACTGCAAGTTCTGCAGACAACAATTGAGCTCTACAGATAAATAACTCCCTGCACCCAAATTCAAAACAAATAAGCAAAATTCTGCCATCTCTTTAATTTTATAGCCACAGCAACATATATTAACAGACTGTAGGAAATTTAACACAAAGGCAAACCTTGCAGCTTTGATTTATATGGATGAAGGGAAGTGGTAGATATATAGATGGATTATCACCCACAATGCAACTCCCTATGATAATTTGACTTAATCCCCACAGTCAATGCCAGTTTTTCATATCCATGATTATTTCTTCCTGCCCCCTTCGCCCCCACCCCTGAAATTAGAACATCTCTTCTTAGGTAAAAATAGTGTCCTTATTTAAAATTGTATAGTGTTTTAAGTGCATACAGCAATTCCATTTGTGTTCTATAATAAATGCAATGAAGTTAAAAGGGAGAGCATTAGTCGCTAGAGATGCTTCCTCTAACCACAAAGAATGAATTGTTAGGGCTCTGCCACCACCTCCACTGTGGACGAAGGTGAGATGGCGGCCACCAAGCGGGTAGGAGAGGTTATGCAGGGCAGTGAGCCTGGTCAGCCCAAGCCGCCACTACCTCAGCCGCATCCCCTGTTGCCCCAGCAACAGCAAGAAAAAGTGATGGTGGCTGAGGCCGAAGAAGTGGTGCCATCCCCTATGGATGACGGGTTCCTGAGTCTGGACTCCCCCACCTGTATCTTGCAGGGACAGAGCAGAATGGGCTGATACAGATCCAGTGCTGCAGAGCAATGGCCTCAATCCAGTGGGCCAGATAATTTATAATGAAAAATTTAGCGATGTTTATGATAATTTCTGGGCCGTTCTGCATGAAGAAAGAAGTGAAGGAGCTTTTAAACTAACGAGATGCTATTGAGTTAAATGCAGCCAATTATACAGTGTGGTGTTTTCAAAGAGTTCTCTTAAAGTCATTTCAAAACTATCTGCATGAAGAAATGAACTACGTCACTGCAATAATAGGAGAACAGTCCCAAGTTTGGCATCATAGATATTAGTGGAATGGCTAAAAGATCCATCTCAGGAGCTTGAGTTT